TTTCTCTAGTTACATACAGGTAGGTGGATTTGTGTATTGCTTTATAAGGAGGTGTCATCTGCCCCAGCTTATGTTATATTTTCTGACTTGGTTGGGCACATGACAGTTTTGTTATCACCATCTCAAAGCTGTGTATTGCATGATGTTATATAACCAAATTTGGTACATACTGAAGAAAGCCATAGTTATTTGGTTGTAGAAATGTGCTGTCACAGGTCACAGTGTAAGAGAAGGAGATATGGACAAAGCCCCTGTTTCCAGAGCAGCAAAGATACCTGCTCAGTAGAAACTCCATAGCCCCCAGGAGGGAGAAATGCTCTATGACTCGTGCAAGCAGGCCCCAGAAGGAGCCCATGAAAGGGAAGAAGGAAACAGAGCCTTTCTAGTAAAGGAAGAGATCACAGAAATTTTTGAGATGGCATCAGGAGCAATGTAGAAAAAGAACCCCAGCAAGTTGTATTTATTAAAGAAACCATGGTCTCACACGATTTACAATTCTTAGGGGCCAACCCAAGCTGTTTCTGGCAGCCAACAGCTATCTAACCAAAGGAGTAGCTGCTCACCTCACCAGGATTATGTTTCAAATAGCCCTGAAAACTGATTCTGTGTGTCTTCTTCAAATGAAAACAAAATTCCTCAACAAATATACTTCCTTAGTTTAGGTATTAGCCAGTAGTACTTACTCTGTAAAGGCCAATGGTGGATTCCTGATCCAGGCTTAAGGATCCTGTGACATCACTCAGAAACTGCAAGCGTTACAGGAAGCAGCACAGCTGCTGTGTGTGGGATTTTCCAAGTGCCTGTGGTTTCCCAACCACAGCATTGGACACAAAGTGCCAAAGGCCCCTGGGATGAAGCAGAGCATGGCACCCACCCCCGGGACACTCCTGGTGCTGCAGTGCTGCTGTATGGTGCTGCTCTGCCATGCTGCAGCGTGCTTTATATGGAAAACATGCTAATCTGATTGCTATTGTAAACACCCTACAGTCACAGCAAAACAGCCATTTCAGCTGTGCAGAGACAGCTTGTGTGTGTTATGGTGGTGACTCTACACTGGGTAAAGGTGAAGTTACTGACACCCAATGGACTCATTCATTGCTAGATCTGTGCCCTTCATTTAAAGCCAGCAACACTCTTCAGGTTGGAATTTTCCAAATTTAGCTTTGACAACCCAGTTCCAAGAGCCCAGGGGAAGAGACATGACTACTTTGCTAATTGATGCTGGTACACCAGGGAGGCTCAGCACTGTCTACAGCAGAGCTCTCCCTTAAAGTGGACTAGGTCAGTTGGATGGCAATTGTACCAAGTCAAATAGCAATTCTCACAAGCAGATCCTCTTTTTCTAAATTATTACACATCCACAACAGTACTACTAGAGTGGGAGAACAATGTATTCAAACTGGAGGGACCAGCACAGAAACATGTGTGAATTCAATTACATCTGCCTGTGGACATGTTTTGCATCATTTCAAACCCTGTGGATCTAGTTCATAATCTAGTCTGCCCTCTTGCATAATCCAAGACATATACTTCTCTCTGGTAGGGGACTGAACATACTGTGCTCAAGAACTTGTATTTTTAATAAAAGTACAGCTAGTACTTGGCTAATACATACATTTCAGAAAGACATTCAGTTTTCTTCTGATGGCCTCGAGGACATTCAGAATTTACCACTTGTCACATTACATCCTCAATTGCATAAACCCAGTCTTAAGTTCTCCATGGGGACAGTGTCTCATTCAGAACACAGGACAAAAATCACTTAGCTAGCAGCCATTCAATATTTTATTTTCGCCCTTTTTATTTGATGTATAGCCCTAAAAGCCTTGTTTAGTGCACATTATTCCAGCTCTATTCTGAAGGCAGAATGATTAATTTCTTTACAGACATTTCTATACTGCTCATCAGATGCTTCTAACTTGTTATGTGCAATTTCCTAGCTTTTGGAAAAGCACATAAAGGAATGCCATTATGTGGCACCATATAACTACTGCCATGATTCATATCAGCAGGGATAGACCAGACCTCTGCTATCTTAGCTAACAGGTGTGAACCACAGTCTGCAGCAGGGCCAAGTTAAAGGAGGTGAGGTACATCTTAAGCAAGTGATTTTCACCAATATTTGCTGGCACCAGGATGGGAAGATTCAGAATCTTAAGGAGACAGAAGAGCATGGAAAGAAGTACTCTCACAGGTTCCTGCCCCTCTGTCATTCTCCTAAGATTGGCCTCTTTAATTCACTCTTTCCAGCATGCCCACACCTCCATCCATGTCTTCTTATCTATCCAGTCCTATCTGGCATTATCTATCTTACCCTATTTTCCATCTATCTGTATTTTTCTCACTTTTTCAGTTTCTTTCCTCTTCCATACTTGCTTATAGACTAAGTCTCTGCCCCCAAATTTCTCATCTTACTGTCTTTTTCAGCTCTTCTGAACTTTACATCCATTCCTTGACTAAAACATCATCATGGAATACTCTGAACTGGAAGGGACAGGAATCACCGAGACCATCTCTTGGTCTCACACAAGGCAGCCCCAAGAGTCATTCCATGTGTCTGAGAGCACTGTCCAATTGCTTCCTGAACTCTGGCAGGTTCAGTGCTGTGACCACTTCTCTGGGATACCATTCCAGGGCCCAATCATCCTCTGGGTGAAGAATCTTTCCCTTATATCCAACCTAACCCTCCCTGACACAACTTCAGGCCATTCCCTCAGGTCCTGTCACTGTCACCACAGAGAGAGATCAGTGCCTGCCCCTCCTCTTGCTCGCATGAGGAAGCTGTAAATGCTGTCCCCAGTCTCCCCTTCTCCAGGCTGAACAGACCAAGTGACCCCAGCTGCTCCTCATATGGCTTCCCTTCAAGACCTTCCCTGTTTTGGCTGCCCTCCTTTGGACACTCTCTGAGAGTTTAATTCCCTTCTTGCACTGGGGCACCCCAAACTGCCCCCAGCACAGGAGGTGAGGCTGCCCCAGCCCAGAGCAGAGCAGGACAATCCTCTCCCTTGCCCAGCTGTGATGCTGTCCCTGATGCCCCCAGGACAGGGCTGGCCCTCCTGGCTGCCTGGGCACTGTTGGCTCAGGTTCACCTCATCACTGAGCAGGAGCTCAGGTCCCTTTCTGTGACGCAGCTTGCCAGCCCCTCATGCCCCATGCTGCACGTACACCCAGGGTGGCCCTGGCACAGGGGCCCTCATGAGCCCATGGTGGCTGTGCCCAACCATGGCACTGCTTTTCAGGTGTTTTTCAACACCTCCTGGAATAATGTTTATCCTTTTACCAGTCACTGAAGAGAGACTGGTAACCATAGACAGGCCTGTAGTTACAAGAGTCATTCTCTTGCCCTTCTTGAAAATACCTGGAGTTTGAGGGGAACAAGCATTCACAGACTCCTTAAAACTTTCAGAAATACTTACCTACTAAGCATATATGTGATTTTTAAAGGTTACAACTTGGATAACCTAGGAAATATTATGGTAAAAAGCACATTCATATGCTAGCCATTCCTGACAAAACCTAGAGATAACAAGGCACCATAAAGAAGATATTGCAGAAGCTTTTAAGGTCTCCTCTTTAGCCTCCTTTTCAGAAACAGCAAAGCCATGTTGGAATGACATTTTCTGAAGTGAACTGGGCCAGAACATCTGAGATATGCACCTTGGAAACTTTTATTCCAAGTTACTATAGTTTCAGAAAATTGCAAGCAACTGAAATGTGAAGACTCAGAATATGGTTATGTCCATAAAGTAAGACAAAAATGAGAGCTATTAGTATCATGTTGGCACCTAATTTGATGGCTTCTCTGGTATCAACAACTTCTCTTAAATTATGACAGAGCAAGGAACATCATTTCATCTGGCTTAGTTTTTACTGAGTGAATTTGTGGAGGCTGTATCACAACAACCAAGTTATATTATTGCCCCATATAAGCCTGACATGTGTACAGCAGCCTTGTAATGTTCTCCTGACATGCACCAGCTATTCATTTGCTATTTTTGTACTGAACAGTTATTATTATCAAATATCTTGCCCTGTGCCTGTAGGTTCTACTATTTCTGTTAATTGTAACTTCACTCAACATTTGATGTCTTGTACACTGATACCCCTCCAGTTTTGGAGTTGCCAGCAAACCTCATCAGGACCAAATTTATGCCAGGTAAATTTACTGCCAAATACAGTAGTCAAATGGATATAGAATTCCTGTAAAAATTAAGTTAGTCAAGACAAACTTCTAAAATTACTAAGAGAGACCTGGTAAGGGCTACAGTTAACAAGACACAGCATTGATGAAACATGATTAACTGCTTTGATTTCACACGAGAACTGGCTTTTGGTCTTCCATAAAGCTCCCTGTATAATTATTATTGTTATTAAGCTCTAGGCCCAGTGTCTGGAAAACAGTTTTGGGCTTGGTGCCATAGAGAAAAAGAATACTTGCTGGGTAGGAGTGTTACCAAAAAAAGCCCCGCAAGTGTGGAGTCCCTGCCCCTACACAAGGCTGGAACCAAGCTGCAGCTTATAACAGTAACAGATTCGTTTTATTGTAAACTTGTAGTTTATCTTGATTTTAACAGATAAAAAGAAACCAGCCCAAGTTTTACAAATCCCATATCTATCTATCTATCTATCTATCTATCTATCTATCCATCTATCTTCAGTGATTTAGTTCTTTAGATCCTTCAAACATCAGTGTACTGCTTATTTAAAATGCATAACAGTTAGTAGGAAAAGCAGCAAAGACAATGTAATTGAGTTGACTCCCAAAAGTATGAGCCTTTGTCAATTAAAAAATTTACTTTTGACACAAGTCCTAATTAGTTAAAAATTCAATCCAGTCTTAAAATAGAGGTTCAAACTACCCAATTTATTCTTGGAACGGTCACTTGTTCTCAGGATTAGGAAGACAATGGCATCCAGAGCAAGCATAAGCCCTCTCCCCTTTTATTACAGTTAATCAGGAACATAAATACTATAATGGAGCTGAGCCCCTGCAAACTCACCAGGCTGTGCATAATTTCCACTCCAGCTGGATTCACGGTGAGCGCTTCATCATACAATTGCTTAGCCTCCTCCAAATTGCCTTTCATCTCTGCAAGCCTCCCACGCATGTACAGTACAGCATGAGATGTGGGGAAAAGACTAGCTGCCTCCTGGGTACAAAAGCCTGCTTCTTTGAGATGCTGCTGTTCCAGGAAGAGTTCAGCTGAAGGAAAAACAAAACACCAAGCCATAAAAATAAAGCAAAGAACACCCTGCCATTAGATGAAATGAAGCAGAGACCTTTCTTCGTATTAATTATATATCATCTGACTTACTTAAGCATATTAAAACATGAGGCCATGATCCTGCACAATGCTTTGTACTATGGTTAGTGCTTATTATCATGACTGGATTCACTGAATGTATCTATCTTTTCCGAATGCTAAGGGATCTATCCAGATGTTCATGGACACCTTTGGGTGGTGTCCTGACAAAGGCCTTAAGGATTCCTCCATTGGGAAGGTAAATAGTGCTGAACCGAGCCCTAAGGAGGCTACTTGGAGTCATCAGAGGAATTTCCAAATAATCTGGGGGAGAAAAAAATAACAGAGTAAGCTATCACTGTCTACTGAGAACTTCAAAAATGTCAGAGTATTAGGACACATCTGAGCTGGACAGTAGATAACTTACTTAGGAGAGTACTTTCCCATTTAAAAAGATTATTTAAAATCTTATTTGGCAAGTTTATGAGACAACTGTCTCTTAATCTCTCAGAGACTGTTAAAATCAAAAGGCCCTTATAGACTTATTTATATCGTGTATTCATCTATTTACATCTTCATACATTACAGAAAAACAAAATGCAGCTCTTGGAAGAGACTGCTCACTTGCTTTCTTGAACTATCAGCAACTATCTTAGTGGTTTGCTTAGAAAAAATATGAAACAGGCATGTTTACATGTTTGAATGTCAACTTGTTAATAAAATAATGTCTCATGATAAATTTCATAACGTATCTCATGGCTGAACTTTAACATTTCTCAGAATTTGGACTAGATAATTGTGGTGTTGGACTGGATGATTGTTGTAGATCCCTTCCAGCTGAAATTGGAATTCTAATTATTTCAAAAGGTCAAAATACTGCCACATGTAATCAAAAAGGGAAACTGTTTTTATATATATACACATACACACACATGTAAGCATGTATGTAGATGAAATACTCTTCATACAGGCAGGAATTGCTCTTTAGTCCATAACCTGTGTTCTACATGCTCTCACTGCAAAAACTCAGTGTCTCTCTCTTATTTTTTATTAACTGATGTCATGCAGTAAGTATTGACAGTTCAAGAGTCCAATTCAAAATTACTAATTCAGGCTCTAGATTTAGAATAACGATTCTGAAATTAGACACAACCTTAAATGTCCTGACTTTTTAAGGCAGTGAATATTCTTAGGAAGTGTCTGTGAGGGGGGAAATTAGAGTGAAAATTCCTCTTGAATATCTTTGAAACTGTGCAATTTTGAAACACTGGGAGACCCAGATGACTGTGGGGACTTGGCTTGGTCACGTGGAGCTTGCTAGAGGTGAGCAGGGAAGCATCCCCTGCCTGACCACAGGAAGGATCCACCTTGGCCTATGAGACTGGGATCATGAATGGCATTTCTACTGGCACACCAAAAATGATTCTGTAGTGAAATGACAGCATGGCTGAACATCCTTCCACTTCTGAGGTGACCTTTCCAGAAGAAGGGTGAGACATTGTTGAGAAAATGCTTGAATATTTCTCTGCCATCCCTAGGTTGTGGTACAAGATAAATGTCATTCTCCAAGGCTGTCAACATGAGCAAAATATTAGCTCCTTCAGAAGAGTTATACTCTTTCAGAATGACTCATACACATTTCTTCCTGGTTAATCATAAAATCTCTGCATGCATCCCTTCCCTTGGCTCCAAGAGGCTGCAGCTATCTATAATAACAGAAGGCAAGGCCATGTACCTTGTCAAGCTGAATATGTGCACAGCCTTATGCAAAAATTGGTGGGAGGACAGTATTTTCCTTGCACTTCCAAGGAACAGAGTGTTTTCCTGCCAAGTGCTGCATAGCAGCTGACGCCATGCATGTGGCATTAATGAGCCTGGGGATGTGCAAAGCGACACTTCACAGCCTGAAGATGAACACTCCCTCCCCAAAGTTTGCACAAACTTAGCAGCACAAAAGAAGGGGTGAAATCCTGGCACTGTTTGAAGTCAGCGGAAGTTCTGGATACTGCCATACTTAAAGCTCTATTAGCAACTAAGAGCATCATGTGACTTGTTTCATTTCAGAAGAGAACTAACTGGGAGCAAGTGGGTTTAGATGTGAAATCATGCATGGTGCTTCAATGCATGCAAAATAGAGTATTTATTCTTTCTATGGTGCCTGTAAGTCTTCTTCAGTAACAACAATTATTTAGAGGAAGTACAGCAACACAGAATCTAAATAAGAACTACAAATTGTATTTTATGGTATGGTAATGTAGTGTATTAAAGTTCAGTCCATTTCTTTGCAGGCTCAATAGTCAATAAAAATGATTTAATGGTGTGGGAGTCCTAATTTGCATAAAAAAGAATGAGAGGGGTGTCTTTTGGTTATGAAAGGAAAGGAGTGCTAAAATTTTTAGCTACCCAGCTAAAAATAGACATTAAAGGACATCATTTAGGTCTGCATTAAAATGTGTTTTCTGTAAACTCATTTTTCACTTCTATTACACACTCATTTTATTTACAGATTAACAAGATATGCTTATGTAACATGGAATAAAAACACAGCTAGAGGCAGAAATCAAACTCAAAAAACAAGGACCTATTAAATTTACCATGGTAAAACCCTCACTGGTACTGAAACACCTGCTTTCATGTTACCTGGGTTAGCAGCTTCCTGTCCACTGGATTAATCAGCCTATCTCCTTATATGAGGTAATTTTGCTGTAAATAACATCTAACCAAATTAATTTGCAGCCCTTGTGAGGAAGTTCTGTTACAGAGACTTGGCAGCCAGTTCCACTTCAAAGCAGAGAATACCTTCTCATGCTGACACAGGTTTCTAGTATCTATAATTCTTATCCTGTGAAAGGGTCAATGCTTCAGGGAAACCATTTATGAACCTCTCATCATTGTACTAGAGTGTTCTTGGTACTGACTTTCTTCAGAGCTTTGAATCTAAAACCAAGCTTCCTTGCTCTCTCTCACTTAACACCATCTCCATAAAAACTTCAATAAATCTACATTCTGTTTTGACCTAAAAGCTCTCTGAATGCTACTGAGCAGAGAGATGATGATCCTGCATGTACCACTCTTCTATTATTCTCTGGAGTAATGACTGAAACTGTGAGTGTGAATGACATTAGGGAATATTTCAGCACTCTCACCTGCAGGAAAGAGTCAGTGCACTGCATGGATGGGCCAAGACAGGTTCAATCTCTCCTTGTATTCAGTTTTTGAAGCCTGTGCCTGCCCTGAGACCACAGCTGACTTCAAGGTTCAGCCTAGCATGATTCATTCCTTTCTCAGATCCACTTTTTGTTGCCCATTTGTGCTCTCTTGCAATACTGTCCAAACTATTCTGCTGTTCTTCCAAACAACTGCTGTCCTGTGGCTATGAACTCTTCTGTCTGGACTTGCAACAGGACTGATGCACCCATTTTAATGCTGGGCCCAGTCCCTGAGAACAGCATGCCTCAGCAGCATTGAGAATATTATTAACTTCTATTACAAGCTCCTAGTTCTTTCAGCTATTTCTGCTAGCATTTAAGCTCACTACAGTGAAGATCCTTAATCAAGTGAAAATTGCCCAAAGCATATAATCTACTTGCTCTCCAAAGACCCCTAACAAATGCACAGACCAAGAGCAATTCCCAGAGCACTGACAAAGCTGGGTGTCCTACAGTCAGCACCTTTATTTTGTCCGAGATAAAATGATTTGCAGAGCTCTGTTAGGGAGTCCATTAGGGGTGTAACAACAGTGTAACCCAGTCATGACTGCATCACACTGTTGTCTGAGAAACAGAGCTGTTCAACATCACCTTTAACACTGACTCTATTCCCCACTTCAAAGCAGTGTCAAGAGTGATAGTGCTTGTCACTGCAGCAACTATTTTAATTCTAGCCTAAAGAAATCAAACAGATTTGAAATGTTTTCTGCAATGTGAAAGAGTTAAAATTTCCTTACTTGTGAATCACGTTTGGTGTTATCCAAGAGGCAGCACTGAACTCCCACAAAGTGGACTGCTCCACATCCCTTGTTGTGTGTGCCTGATGCATCTAAAGCACCCTACTCTTGTCCCCCCAAAAATGTTACTGCAGAGTGACGTGGCCAGGGTAACAGCCAAATGCCCAGCAGGATGGGACAGTGCAGAGCAGCCCTTCACACTCAAGGAGGTGAACACATCTGTGAGGGTGTTGGAAGGTGATTTCTGTTCCCCATCATCTGCCTTCAGGAGTTACTAATGCTTGTTACTGCAGGAGTCCTTAGTCAGCTGGAAAGACCACTCTACCATCAGCAGTGACTACTGAGCTATTACCATGACAAAGGGTCCCCCCACTGCCTTTCCTTGCTGGCAGGTAAGGTTTAGTCGTTGTTCCATGCTCTGACACCACCCTGCATGCAGTAGCTTGACAATTCGTGGCAGATTAGGCAGAAGATTCCTCCAGGCATATCCTCATTACAATAATTCCATCTGATGAAAACGTTTGATACAGAAATGAAGTACAGAAAATGCTGCTTGTTCCCATACACCTGAGCTCAGCCACTTGCTCTTTTGAATGAGGCAACAGATTTATACCCTCTCTTTGCCTGCAAACTGAATTCCAGGGACTGGCTTCAAATTCCCAAGCTTCAGGTCACAGGGCCTGAAATGACCACCTGGCTTCTTTATTTACAAATGCAGCATTAGAGTGAAGGTTTTTGGAAACAGCACATAAGTGCCACAAGCTACCTTCTATACTAAATGGTGCAATCAAAACATGACTAACAGCCCAGTTAAGTATAAATTCCTATTTTCTGTCTCTGGTATGAGCAAATGTCCTGCCTCCTTCATGACTGTGTACATTTTATCACTTGTCCAAACTTACTGAGCAGCTGAGGAAATGTTACTTTTCAGTACCCTCAGTCACTCTCTGGCAGTGCAACAGGTTTCTCTCCATCTCTTGGCAAATTTTCTACAGAATGCTAAACAAAAGGCAT